TTCTGTGGAACATTTAAAGTACCTCACAGTCCTCAGGTTCTATTTCTCACCTGTCAGTTGTAGTGGAAGTTCTTGTTTCTTTCTGCCTCTCTTTTTATGTCTTTTCCATCACTGATGCGACCCTTTAATGTGTAAAAAAAAGAAAGAAGTAGAGTCAGTGTGCATTTATCTCCTGTCTGTTCACAATTGAATTTTCATATTTTCACAGAGGTTGTACAGGGAGAAGGGTGAAAACCTTAAGCACAATTACACACTCACTGAAGAACTGCCTGAGATGGTACAGGCCAAGCTCAACGCTATGAACCTGAGTGAGGTAAAAAAAACATTTTTATTAAGCTTATACACACACACAAAAGTATTGTATTCATATTTGGAAAAAAATGTGTTATTTCAGAGCCACTACAAAGAATCTTGGACTAAGTTACGTGATGGTGGTTACAAGCTGCGTCTGGACGCCATTCCCTTCCAGTCTGCCAAGGCTTCAGGCGACATCCTAAGTGATGTAGGAACCGAATCTTTAGCATTTTAAGAAAAGAGCGCTTAAATTTCATGAGCAGTTTTTAAAGTCCATCAGCATAGCGAGAGATAAACAATTAGTCAACAATTTTTCATCATTTTGCAGCAAAAGTACAAAGAAGATTTCGAGAGAACTAAAGGCAAGATGATTGGACTGAGGGGACTGCAGGATGATTTGAACATGTCCCACTCGGTTCATGCCACCAAACTGCAGAGTGACGTGAGTGCTTTATTACTACAAATATAACTAAAAAAACAACAGGAAAAATAAATGACAATGGCCTTTTTTTTTTTTAGATTAAGTACAAGAAGGACTCGGTGAAAGAGCTGTCCAAGTTCCATCTGCCCATGGACATGATGGAAGTGGCCCACGCTAGGAAGGCCCAGGCTCTGGTCAGTGATCAGGACTACAGACACAGTCTGCATGAGTACACCTCCCTACCCGATGACATGAAGGTGCAGGCGGCCAAGAGAGCGTACGCGCTGCAGAGTGAGGTAAAATGGACAGAATGTACCACAAGGGTGTTCTATCAGGAAGTGCATCAAGTATACAAACTGTCAGTATTTTGACCTGTGGCTGAATTTATCGACTTAGTTCCATAATGCTTATCTTTACAGAAAGTGTATCGCTCCGACCTGAACTACCTGCGTGGTGCAGCGTGGATTGCCACTGGGGCCCTGCAGATTGAAGGCTCCAAGAAAGCAACAGACCTCATCAGTGATGTAAGTAGTGCACAGATATTCTTCTTATTATACTTTGAATCTTTAGCACAGAGGACACAGTGTACATTGACGCACAGTGAGGAAATGATGGTGACTAACTTGAATTTTTTCTTCCACGACAGAAAAAATACCGTCAGCAGCCGTACAACTTCAAACACACCTCGGTCGCAGACTCTCCTGACATCGTTCACGCCAAACTCAGTGGACTGGTTACGAACGAAGTAAGAAAATTAATCCAGCTATTACCAGATTATGTCCTTCGCTACATTCTGATTGTTTGTTATTTACTCAGATGAACGTTCCAATCCAACTTATCTACAGATCACTAACAATACCATGTCTCTCTGTCCAGCGTTTATATAAAACAGCGGTGAACGACCAACACAACTACACGATAACGAGCGAGAGGCCGGAGATCACGCAAGCCAAGATTAATGCTGCCAACTTCAGCGAGGTACTCAAACATTCGCAGTACATTTGACAACAATATTGCACACTCCTGATGCCGGTTAACATTTCTTCTGTGTTTTTTGCCGCAGATCAAGTACAAAGAATCCTGGCACACGCTCAGGGCCCAGGGCTACAAACTCACCATGCAGGACATCCCCTTCCAGGCTGCTAAGACCTCCACGGGCATCGCCAGCGACGTAGGATTTAACACTAAATAGCTATGATTTTGATCATAGGTTCGCAGTTGATGCTGCTATATTGACAATTCTCCTTTACTTTTGCTTGCAGTACAATTACAAACACAGCCACCTGCTGGAAAAAGGTAAACACATCGGGATCAAAAGCGTCTTGGACGACCCACGTCTTCTCCAGTGTCTCCACGCGGGTCGACTGGCAAGCGACCAGGAGTACCGCAAGGATGCCCTGACAACCAGTGGCCAGTACCACCTGACTCCTGACATGATTCACCTGGTGACAGCTAAAAACGCCCAGACCCTGGCCAGTGATCAGGACTACAGGACCAGGCTGCACGAGTACACCGTTCTCCCTGATGACATGAAGGTCAAATGGGCCAAAAAGGCTTATGACCTGCAGAGTGAGGTAAGAAGATGAAACAGAGAGAAAGAGAGCTGCATAGAGCTGATGTTGTGACTGTTCTGACATGTTTTTGACTGACGCCTAGAAACTCTACAAGGCCGACCTCGGCTTCATGAAAGGAGTCGCCTGGGACGGAGTCGGTGCACCGCAGCTGGAGTCGGCCAAGAAGGCTGGAGAACTTATAAGCGAAGTGAGTTTGTGATTGTGTGATTGTACTATTGGGTTGTTGTTAAAGTGTTGCATCAATTAACTCATTAATGTAACAATTGTTTGGCGATGGCACCACCTAGAGGCATATGTGGAAATTTTGCAAAGAGAAAAAAAAAAACATTTTTCTGTTCTCTAGAAAAAATACCGTCAACTGCCTGACAGTCTGAAGTTCACCTCAGTCACCGACTCTCCTGACATTGTCCACGCTAAGTCAAGCTACCAGCATTGCAGTGAGGTAGGCTGACCTGATTAGCATGAGTACGATTTATGAATACTGGTTAAAAAGTTCATTCACCTCACATTTGGCTTTGGCTTATGACAGAGGCTGTACAAATCAGGGAAGGACGCTGACATGAACAAGTACACCTTACACTCTGACGATCCAGACTTCATCAGAGCCAAGATAAATGCCCAGCAGATTAGCGATGTAGGTTAAATTATATATTCTCTTGAAAATGCAGTGAAATATTAAAAAAAAAAGAAACGCCCCAGTGTTGTTACAAAAATATTGAACGTCCTCATTCTTCTCTGTAGAAAGTTTACAAGTCATCTGGGGAGCAGGTCAAGACGGCTGGATACGACCTGAGACTGGACGCTATACCTTTCCAGACAGCTAAGGCCTCCAGAGAAATCGCCAGTGATGTGAGTAGGATTTAAAATGTGGGATTGAAACGTCCGTATGCATTTTTGACAGAATCTCTTTGAGCGCAAATTGAAAATTTAAATGCAAGAAAATGTCGGTTGTCCATGAAGCTATATGTTATAGTTTTCTTCCAAAGTTTGTATGTTTTCTATGGCAGTTATCATTACAATTACAAGGTTTCAGCCCAAATGTAGAAAATGTAGTTTACAAAATTGAACAAAATTGAAATTTTCCTCTACCAGTTGCTCTACAAGGAGTGCCATCTGAAAGAGAAGGGCCAGCAGGTGGGGCTGCGCTGTGTGGAGGACGACCCAAAGATGGTTCACTCTCTGGCGGCCAGCAAACTCCAGAGCAACCTGGAGTACAAACGTCAATCCAAGGAGGAACGTGGCCAATACAAAATGCACGCTGACCAACCCGAGTTCCTGCAGGCCAGAAAGAGCCAGGCTCAGGCTAGTGACATCACCTACCGCCACAAGCTCCACGACTACACCTGTGACCCCAAACAGCTCAACGTCAAGCACGCCAAGCAGGCCTACAAGCTGCAGAGTGATGTGAGCCTTGATACCGATGGATGTTCTTTCGTAACATGACGGCTCTGCTGTATCGAATTTGCAGAAATTCTGTTAGAACTGATCACATTTATGTCCTACATACAAAATTTCTCTCCACACTGCACCACATGTTATTTTGAAAACAGTTCAAATGTGAAGCTGAGGACTCAGAACCACTTCTGAACAACATTGAGTGAGATTGAAAATACATTTTTGGGGGGAGCTGGGGGAGGGGCTGCACAGATTTACATTAGGGTAGGTTATTATTGTCCATTTTTGAGAATGCTAATTTTTAGAATTTAGGATTTTACATCCAGACTAATTATTTAGTCCTTTGACTGTTTGTCTATCAGTTCTGAGATGAGATTCAAGTCAAGCATTTTTGTTTGTTCTTGTAGGTGAACTACAAATCAGATCAGAACTGGATCAAAGGAGTGGGCTGGACCCCTCCTGGGTACTATAAGGCTGAGCTCGCCCGCCGAGCAGCAGAGCTGGGCCTGGCTGAGGGAGTTAGCACTGAGGAGGCTATTGCAAAGTACCAGCACATGATGATGGTGAGAGAATATTTCAAAATATTCAAATCGCATTTCTGCTTATGGAATTAAGAATCAACATGAAGGAAAAATGATAATGTGTTTCCAGATACATCACCAGCAGCAGATGGAGGAGCAGCAGCAGCAGCAGCAGCAGCAGACGTCAGAGCATGTGGAGACCAGCGAGGAGATAGGACAAGGTGTCAACTTGGACGCCATGGAGGTCCTTCACGTGAAGAGGATGAAAACCATTCAGACCGTCCAGAAAAAGTCCACAGCAACCAGCACAAAATCGTTCCGATCCATGGAGAAGAAATCCGGCACCACGTCGTCTTCCTCGTCATCTGGCCTCCAGAACACCGTGAGGACGTCAGGCTCTAGTAAAACTGCTGCAATAGAACAGGCGTAGGTTAGAGAGGTTTTACACGGTAGAGTTAGATTGTTGTTGAAATGACCCAACTGAGGATATTTAAGGTGAGTTTTTAATTTCCATTCTACTGAAATAATAGATGTAATATGTTATTATTGATCAAATATATATAAAGAAGTATAGTAATGGGATCTAATGGTGGTTGGAGCATGTTGAATGGAGATGGGACTGGAGATGAGAAGGAATTCAAATTTGATGTTGGTCAAACAGTCTGTGGGATTATGATGGATTATGTAAAGGACAAGGTTAAGTTCAAAAGAAAGTAATGTGTATGGATGAAAGAGATTACGTTAAAAAATAAGTTGCATGTTCAAGAGTTTGGACAGCTACAAGAGATATTTAGATTGGTCAGGATTACAGCATTCTTTTTTTCTTTGTTGGAACACATGGCAGGTTCAAATGCACAAGGTCAAAACACACACTGGTCTGTTGTGTGTTGAGCTAGACTCAGGAAAAACATATGACAAGTTTTCTTATGAAGCCATATGTAGTCTCTACTTTGTCTGGCAGGTTCAGCTTTGTCAGTTGTAACAGTGCACCTTCAAACTCAAGGCTGGACTCCGAGTAAATGCTTGTCTTTTTTCTTTTTTGCTGGTAAATAAATAAATAAATACAAATGATTTTTCAAGGGAAAACATACTGGTTTATTTTCTCACTAAAATTGACACAAATATTACAGCACCATAACAATTATTACTAAATAATGCAAAGCAAACAAAGAAGTTGAACCAAACTAATAAATGAATAGACATGAAATACAGTTATAATGAAATAAAAGTTAACTTGTACATTGGTATAAAGGAATACATTTTACTAAAAGTATTTTTTGAATGTTTAAAAACAATTGAAATGAAAAATATTGCTAATATTCAATCAAAAATCACTTAAGAAAAACACACATATATATATATAAATCACTGAAAAAACACACATATATATCTATAAATAAAAATAAAAATACAACAATTTAATAAGTTAAATATATATATGTGTGTTAAATAATTGTTAAACTTTTGACACATTCAGCGTATATTTTCTTCGATAATATATTCTCAGATAACAAATGTTGACTGTTAGTTGCTCTTCTACATATGGAGCTGCAGATCCTCCTGCCTGGAACCTGCTTTGATAGAGAATGGAGTTTTGCTCTTTGTTTCCAGGTCGGTGCACAGTCTGGCACTCAGCTCCTGCATCTGCTTGGAAAGTTCGTCCGCCTTTATCAGTTTGACTTCCAGGTAATCCTTTTCTTCCTTCAGTCTGTCCACTTGCTGCATCAGAGCTTCACACCCAGATTTGGACTCCTTCACAACCTGCCCCATCTCCTGGTGGTGCGCCACCCTCTGCTCCTCCAACTGCTTGTGAAGCTGCTCCACCTCTAACTCATGGGTTTTCAGCTGTGCCTCCAGTCTGATCTGCTGCTCCAGCAGCTGCTGGTTCAAAGACTCGTTCTCTGTGGCTAAAGCCTCCACCTCGTTGATTTCTGTCATCAGCCTGACTGACAGCTTCATTATTGTGGTCTCCAGGCTGTGGTTGACCTCCACCTGGTGGTTTAGATCTTGGTAGATCCTCTGGCAAGCTACTTTGAGAGCCTCCATCTCTCGTTGGAAAGCCTCTGGTTCGGAATGTTCTGGTTTGTGCACAACAGGGTTGTTCTGGTTCTGGAGTCTCATGGCTCGCTCCTTCTTCAGCTCTCTGGCCAAAGCCTCATTCTCCATCATCAGAGACTTGTTCTTCTGTAACTCGGCGACCAGGTCTAAAATCAGCATCTCGTTCTGTATTTCCAGGAAGTGGCTGGTCTTTGCCTCTTCGCTCAGCCTCTGGGAATGCATGCTGTCAGAAACCTGTGGCTCCAGCTGGCTATACAGAATGTCCATCATGTCTATTTGTAGTTCAGTCAGGAAGAGCACACCTCTGATATCACCTCACCTTGGTTCAAGTTAGAATACTGTATGTTCTACTGCTGGTTGTTAGTAACACAGGAACTGCTTTAGTGGCTTTGATCAACAGATTCATTCTGATTGGCCAATCCAAGCCAAGTGGCTTTGATCCACAGAAGTGGCAGGTTTTAGTTGGAACATTTTGTGATAACAGTCAAATTGTGAAGATAATGCATCATTCGAATTTGAAATTTGAAAATAAATTTGACCCTAAAGAAAAAAATATTCAAATATGTTGTTACTTGGTCATAATGTGACAAAGTAAAAAAAAAACAGCAAAAATGATCTTTTTTCAGGTTGAGTGCTGTCTTCAAACATTTATTTTTATCCTATACTTATATCGGTTACTGTTATTAAAATATAGTAAACTGAAAATAAATGAAATAAATAAACGATAATTATTGAATTACTTTGAGATGGATGGAAACCACAAACATCTTTATTGTTATTGTTTGAAATCCAACTAACAAAATATATTTTGCCAACCGAAATTGGCAGCCATGTAATCTTTCTAGTCTTTTATCACCGTTCTTCTCTAAAAATAAATGAGATTTTCTCAGGATAAGTGCATAAGAAAAATAAATCTATGATTCTTATTGTTGTTGTTGTTTTGTCCTAGGTATTTCCACTACTCCTTAATTCCCCAAATGGATGGGTTAGGGTTCGTACATTCTTGTTATGATAGATATACGGCATGAATGCACTTCTAGAAAATACAACCTTTAACTTTATCAAAGCTGCAAGTGCAAAAAAAGGAATTTTAAACACCAAGGGTGTAGGTGGCACAACGCTAACGCTATGCTAACAAAATGCAGAATGTTCTGGTTGACTGCCCAGTGTGTATGTTGCAGGAGGCAGAGGTTTCCCCACTCAGTACATCTGTCAGAAATGAATCATTCATAACAAACCAACCCAAACTTAGCAAACACAAAACCCACCGTGGCCTCACTGTGTCACTGACAGTTAAACAGGCATCTAAATAACAACAGTGGAAAGTAGAGCTCCACTGCTACAATGGCAGCAGAACAATACAATACACAAAATTAAATACACTATTTCTCTCCACACTGCACCACATGTTATTCTGAAAACAGTTCAAATGTGAGGCTGTGAACTCAGAACCACTTCTGAATAACATTGAGTCAAATGAAAATACATTTTTGGGGTGGCGCTGGGGGAGGGGCTGCACAGATTTAAATTAGGGTAGGTTATTATTGTCCATTTTTGAGAATGCTAATTTTTAAATTTTAAGATTTACATACCTCCAGACTAATCCTAAGAAACTCCACAAAAACAAACCCAGACAACAGGCAGAACAGCTAGCTCCAAGCTAGCCGACTCACACCAAAACATAACCGCTGTGCCAAACCGTGGTGCGTTTAAGGCAGTCTGAAAAGTGCAACAGCAGAACGAAGAATGAAGAATATTATTTACACAGATACGGGGGCAGGTTGGTCAAACAGTCTGTGGGATTATGATGGATTATGTGAAGGACAAGGTTAAATTCCAAAGAAAGTAATGTGTATGGATGAAAGAGATTACGTTAAAAATAAGTTGCATGTTCAAGAGTTTGGACAGCTACAAGAGATATTTAGATTGGTCATGATTACAGCATTCTTTTTTTCTTTGTTGGAACACATGGCAGGTTCAAATGCACAAGGTCAAAACACACACTGGTCTGTTGTGTGTTGAGCTAGACTCAGGAAAAACATATGACAAGTTTTCTTATGAAGCCATATGTAGTCTCTACTTTGTCTGGCAGGTTCAGCTTTGTCAGTTGTAACAGTGCACCTTCAAACTCAAGGCTGGACTCCGAGTAAATGCTTGTCTTTTTTCTTTTTTGCTGGTAAATAAATAAATAAATACAAATGATTTTTCAAGGGAAAACATACTGGTTTATTTTCTCACTAAAATTGACACAAATATTACAGCACCATAACAATTATTACTAAATAATGCAAAGCAAACAAAGAAGTTGAACCAAACTAATAAATGAATAGACATGAAATACAGTTATAATGAAATAAAAGTTAACTTGTACATTGGTATAAAGGAATACATTTTACTAAAAGTATTTTTTGAATGTTTAAAAACAATTGAAATGAAAAATATTGCTAATATTCAATCAAAAATCACTTAAGAAAAACACACATATATATATATATGTGTGTTAAATAATTGTTAAACTTTTGACACATTCAGCGTATATTTTCTTCGATAATATATTCTCAGATAACAAATGTTGACTGTTAGTTGCTCTTCTACATATGGAGCTGCAGATCCTCCTGCCTGGAACCTGCTTTGATAGAGAATGGAGTTTTGCTCTTTGTTTCCAGGTCGGTGCACAGTCTGGCACTCAGCTCCTGCATCTGCTTGGAAAGTTCGTCCGCCTTTATCAGTTTGACTTCCAGGTAATCCTTTTCTTCCTTCAGTCTGTCCACTTGCTGCATCAGAGCTTCACACCCAGATTTGGACTCCTTCACAACCTGCCCCATCTCCTGGTGGTGCGCCACCCTCTGCTCCTCCAACTGCTTGTGAAGCTGCTCCACCTCTAACTCATGGGTTTTCAGCTGTGCCTCCAGTCTGATCTGCTGCTCCAGCAGCTGCTGGTTCAAAGACTCGTTCTCTGTGGCTAAAGCCTCCACCTCGTTGATTTCTGTCATCAGCCTGACTGACAGCTTCATCATATTGGTCTCCAGGCTGTGGTTGACCTCCTCCTCGTGGTTCAGATTTTGGTAGATCCTGTGGCAAGCTACTTTGAGAGCATCCAGCTCTCGTTGGAAAGCCTCAGCCACGTGGCCGAGCTCGCAATGTTCTGGTTTGTGCACAACAGGGTTGTTCTGGTTCTGGAGTCTCATGGCTCGCTCCTTCTTCAGCTCTCTGGCCAAAGCCTCATTCTCCATCATCAGAGACTTGTTCTTCTGTAACTCGGCGACCAGGTCTAAAATCAGCATCTCGTTCTGTATTTCCAGGAAGTGGCTGGTCTTTGCCTCTTCGCTCAGCCTCTGGGAATGCATGCTGTCAGAAACCTGTGGCTCCAGCTGGCTATACAGAATGTCCATCATGTCTATTTGTAGTTCAGTCAGGAAGAGCACACCTCTGATATCACCTCACCTTGGTTCAAGTTAGAATACTGTATGTTCTACTGCTGGTTGTTAGTAACACAGGAACTGCTTTAGTGGCTTTGATCAACAGATTCATTCTGATTGGCCAATCCTTGCCAAGTGGCTTTGATCCACAGAAGTGGCAGGGCTTAGTTTGGAAATTTTGTGATAACAGACAAATTGTGAAGATAATGCATCATTCAAATTTGGAATTTGAAAATAAATTTGACCCTAAAGAAAATGATTCAAGTATGTTGTTATTTGGTCATAATGTGACAAAGTTAAAACAAAAACAAAACAAAGAAAACCCCATCACTGCCCTGTTTGTCATGTGATGCTGTGTATATTTAAATTATCTTTTTTCAGGTTGAGTGCTGTGTTCAAACATGTATTTTTTTTATCCTTTACTTAAATCTGTTACTGTTAATAAATATAGTAAACTACGGAGCCCCTAAAGGGACATGGGAAAAAAATAAAAAAATTAACTTATCTCGTGAGCACGAGATAAAGACATTTTGCCACACATACATACAGGGTAATACATTAAAATAACAAAAAACCATGTACATGTACGTACGGTTGGGAAATCTAAGATTCCGGCATGTCATGTGTGACATATGTACTGTATATATGCTGAGCATTTAATTAATATAGGATACCTCAGTTAGACACAGGAGGGCACTGTTGTTGTGTTTCGTGATAACTTTCACGTAATTACGTGATGTCTGTAAAGCACACTAAGTTTGCTTTGTGCATGATATGCGCTCTATAAATAAAATTGAAATTAATGAACTGATGAAAGTCCACCTGCGAGCCAAGAATATGGCTCGTTTACACGATTCAGTTGAATTGTACTTTATGCTTGGCTTGAGTCACGGTGATATTTTACAACTAGTGGGCTCAGTGGGTGAGATTTTTATTAGTATGCGTACTCTCAGAAGGACGAGGATGATTTACTTATATACGTATTTACCCTTCACGAACCTCCCTATAATGTTATCAACGGTAGAACAACAGTGCCCTCTTGTGTCTACATGAGGTATCTACAGTAATTAAATGCTCACCATATACTGTATACAGTACATATGTAACGCATGACATGCCGGTATCTTAGATTTCCCAACAGTACGTACTTTACGTGATTTTTTTTAAAAATGTATTATCCTGTATGTATGTGTGGCAAAATGTCTTATCTCGTGCTCACGAGATAAGTTTATTTTTTTATTTTTTCCCCATGTCCCTTTAGGGGCTCCGTAGTAAACTGAAAATAAATGAAATAAACAATAATTATTGAATTACTTTAAGATGGATGGAAACCACAAACATCTTTATTGTTATTGTTTGTGGCCATGTAATCTTTCTAGTCTTTTATCACCGTTCTTCTCTAAAAATAAATGAGATTTTCTCAGGATAAGTGCATAAGAAAAATAAATCTATGATTCTTATTGTTGTTGTTGTTTTGTCCTAGGTATTTCCACTACTCCTTAATTCCCCAAATGGATGGGTTAGGGTTCGTACATTCTTGTTATGATAGATATACGTCATGAATGCACTTCTAGAAAATACAACCTCTAACTTTATCAAAGCTGCAAGTGTAATAAAGGAATTTTAAACATCAAGGGTGTAGGTGGCACAACGCTAACCCAATGCAGAATGTTGACTGCCCAGTGTGTATGTTGCAGAAGGCAGAGGTTTCCCCACTCAGTACATCTGTCAGAAATGAATCATTCATAACAAACCAAGCCAGACTTAGCAAACACAAAACCCACCGTGGCCTCACTGTGTCACTGACAGTTAAACAGGCATCTAAATAACAACAGTGGAAAGCAGAGCTCCACTGCTACAATGGCAGCAGAACATTCACCACAGGCAGAGCTGGAGGGGCTCAACTGTCTGGCGTATGACGAGGCCATCATTGCCCAACAGGACATAATTCAACAGGAAGTGGCCAACACCACACCACTGGTGTCCGACAGACTGGATCTATCCGTGCTGCAGACGGAGTACGCCGAGGAGGACACCGTTTATCAGCTGAAGATCAAGGACCTGTACCAGAAGTACGCCTTCATTCGTAAGACGCGGCCGGACGGGAACTGTTTCTACAGGGCCTTCGGTTTTGCACACCTGGAGTCCATACTGGACGACGGGAGGGAGCTGCAGAGGCTCAAGGCGGCCGTGGCTAGGAGCAAGGCGGACCTCGTCAACGACGGCTTCACCGAGTTCACCATCGAAGACTTCCACAACACTTTCATGGACCTGATCGAACTGTGCGAGAAGCAGCCGAGCCTGCAGGAGCTGCTGGACTGCTTCAACGACCACAACATGTCCGATTACGTGGTCGTGTACCTGCGGCTCCTCACCTCCGGCTACCTGCAGAGGGAGCAGGGCTTCTTTCAGTTTTTTGTAGAGGGAGGGCGCTCCATCAAGGAGTTCTGTCAGCAGGAGGTGGAGCCCATGTACAGAGAAAGTGACCACATTCACATCATCGCCTTGGCACAGGCCCTGAACGTATGCATCCTGGTGGAATACATGGATCGGGGAGAGGGAGGAACAGTCAACCACGTCTTCCCTGAGGGCGGCGATCCGAAAATCTTCCTCCTCTACAGACCTGGTCATTACGACATCTTGTATAAATAACACTCCTGCTGTGGGTTTGTTCACATTTGTTGTCTCGTCCAACGCACAGTCATTTCTTTTTATTGTTCTTGTCTTATAACATTACATACAGTACATGTGTGTTTTTCTGTGGGCTTGTGATTAATCTATTTATTAGAGTCATGGTCCACACTGACAATGAAGGCTAATCTATCCCATTCTAATATAATAAAACATCATCACAGACCCACTGACATCACTGGTATCAAAATGTATCAATTATCTCACCATCTGTGCCACAAAAGTCTTATTGTCACATTTCTTTCTAATTTTTTATTCTTACATTTTTAATTTGACCTTTGCCCCAAGATCTTCAGATCTTCCATTTCTTCTTTTTTTTCCCTTCTTATGCTGATGTTTGTGCCTTTTCCTTTTCTGTGCTTTTGGCACCTCCTCAACAATAACTTTAAATGTAACAATTTCCAAATAAATATTTCATTTTTGAGCCTTTCACTCTGAGTAGGAAGTGATTTTAATTAACAATAACCACACCACTGTATTTCCTTTTCAAAGATCCGCCCTTATTAACCGAGTGTCGTAATAAAAACCACAGGTTTACTGCTGTCTTATATTGTACATCACAGTATTACCATTGTTAACAAATCAATATTAAAAAGAAATATTTGTTGACATGGTTACACACAAGAGATACTGTACATGTAGGAGCCATGCAGCACCACAGAGACGAGAAACAGGAAATGACGATAAATTACCTGAGCAGAAAAAGAAAAAAGAAAAACTCACCCAGGGGCAGATGAGACAGAATGCAGGAAACCATGACATTCAGCCAGAATGCAAAAGTCAGACTGAACAGTCAAGGACCAAGACTGGTGTGTTTCACCAGGTGAGATGAATGAGACTAACGAACTAGAGGCACAGGACACAGGTGAGTGTGATGAAACTAATCACCCAGGAACAGAGGGAGAAATGGCAACAGCACGTCAAACTTCATAATGAAGCACATGAAAACATCACAACAGTCCAACTTAGACCTGGGAGTCATAACGAAGGGCAAAAAGTTCCACAAAAAAAACCCAACACTAATGAAAAAGTAAATGTAGCACAATCCAATGTATGGTGTAAAACTGGCACAGGTAAACAAAGCAGTACTCTGGTTATAGTATTCATCCCCTATGCTCAACAACTAGTTCCAGTGCTGAATTTGTTTTAACACCATACGTTGAGACGATGGACAATCCTAATTATGGGAAACCGGCAACATTGCCACAACCACACTGAATCATGTCTTCTTGACCACTTTATTTGAGGTAAAACAAAATGCAGCCCTTATCTTGAACACCACCTTATCTTCAAGGCTCTGTGTGTCATGTCATTGATTCATTTATTTTACAACATAAATAATAGTGTGATTCTCATATATTATTTATCATTCAAATAAGAGGAAATCCAGCTGACAAATCTGCCAACATTGGCATAGACACCAGGCTTGTACTTCTTGCCGCAGCCATCTCCCCAGCTCACCACACCGACCACTTGGTGTGTCCCGTTATGCTCGCACACCAGAGGACCCCCAGAGTCACCCTGCAGGACGGAGACAGAAAAGACCAATAACGATTCTAACAGGTATTTCATAGCTATGCTAATATCGGCCAATGTTATCGCTTGGACGATATCGCACATCCCTAGTTTATTGTCTACACTATAGAAACGATAATGAACTTGACTTTGACTCAGTCAGACACATCAACTGACCTGGCAGGAGTCCACACCTCCATGCATGTTGCCTGCACAGAACATGCTGTCATCCAGGGAGTCTCCGTACACATGTGGAGCTTTGCATTTCTCCTGAGAGATCAGGAGAACGCGAGCATCCAGCAGGTGGTTGCTTCCATATTTCTCTGCAGCAGATGAAGTTGAAAATGAGGAAAATGTTACTGTTATTATTATTCCCCAAAACCCTCCATCCTGAACCTCTGCACTCTTTGAACTCTAAACAATGTTGACAGTACACATTTATAGCAGTACAAATGTAAGAAAGTATGAAGAAAAAAAAAATCACAATAAGCTGACAGTTTAACAAATAAAAAATTACCCTGTTTTCCGATGTAAATGCGTAATGTAGCACTAGAAGAACTGGATGAATATCCATGAGCTGCCAAATGGTCAAAACACTTTTTTCCATTGCTGAACACTCACTAAACCTTACACCTTACAGTAATATAATTATATTAATATTATTTTTTATTATATTTTATATATTAATATGTATTTATTATTTATAATATCTATATATTAATATTTATATAAAGTACAAACATTACTTACGTGTTTCAGTCGCTCCCCATCCAGAGATGGCGCACTCCTTCCCGCTGTTGAACTGCTGGGTCGGCAGACAGGCTGTCTTCACGAAGCGAGTTTCTTTGGCACAGTACGGCTTGTCCATGACTTTCAGTTGGAGCATGGCTGCAGAGTATGGCAGATATTTTATCTTCGAAATACAGAGAGCGTTCGCATCGCACCGCTAACGCATAGACCAAAATGTCTTACCGACGTCATTATGAAGAGCGAAGGGAGTCTGTCTGTAGCCCTCGTGCACGATAGCTCTCTCCACGGGAACCACCTGATCGTACGCCTCGTCCTTCTCTAAGTCCACTCCACCCAGCACCACCTGCAGCTCTGTGTGACTTAAACTGGACAAATAGTTGTGGCTTTAGCACAGTTGTGGACAATCAATGCTACTTAAGGTTAGCTCAGACATAGCTAAACATTATAAAATGTTGCCCAGACGTTTCTCCATTTGAGTTCCAGGCGATCTCACGCGAGACCCCGACCCAAGGGTTGAAAACCAACGGCTTAAACATTCCATTACAGTTACAAGTCAGTGTGAATTTCACTTCATGGACGCTACTGGAAAAAACAACAGCGGCTCTTACATGCAGTGAGCAGCAGTTAGAACCCAGCAGGAGTCCAGTAGAATACCACCACAGATGTGACTGAACGGCCCGGAGGAGCCCGCGGCTCTGCTCTGCAGGGAAACCTGCCAAGGATGAGCTCCGGGAACAGATTTTTTCCCTCCAAAGATTCTGGATGAGCGGCCAGGCTGCGGTCTTCCACACTGAGAGAACAGCCTGACCGGAGCTGCTGTGACGGAGTCAGTTTCTGTGACTGTAGGTGGAGTGGCTGGAGCTGAGAGGGGGGTTAACAAAGAAAGGGTTAACAGTCAAAAGAGGAGGGTAGAGGTGTGTGTTTGTGTGAGTATGATGAAGTTTCACCTCCAATGCATTTCCTGATGTTACAGTGGTTCCATCTCAGTCTGCCGTTCTTCTTAACGTAGCACCAGGGCTGATCATCTCCGTCAGGATTACTGTTAAACAGAAATAGATCTGCGGTATGAAGTATTAAAATACTACTACACAACTACAGTAACACGCATACTGTACAGCATTTCCTCAGTCTGTGTCCTCACCGGCAGTAATTGTTGGGTCCAATTCCATCGTGACCTTCATACGCTTTGAACGGATCCGCTCCGTTCTGCAGAATGAAATAGGAATTCCAGTGCAAACAGTCCTCTCCTTCGACCGTTTCACTCACCATGCCATTGTAAAACTCTCCGTCGCCTTCGTAACAGTCGTTTGGTCCTGTGAGCAGACAAAAGCCGTTTACCGTTCGCTCCGAATTCAACGTGAACGTGATTGCAGTAATAGACGGAGAACAATTAGGAGAATTGTATTTACCCACGTCACATAATTTGCCGTTGTATCCGTGAGGGCAGGCGCACTGGAAGCTGGTGCGTGACGGACCCCTCCAGCAGCTGCCTCCATTCTGACAGGGGTTATTAGGCCTGCAGAGAGAGGCTGAGACCGAAGACATGTGACAACACTCATCAAACATGAACTAGTCTGTTATCAATAAACTGATTTCTTTATCTTTAACCCTCTGCCTCGCTCACGAGGTTATTTGAAACATGAACTGTCAATAACGCAGTGCAATAATTCCAGACCTTTCCGGCAGTGGGGGGGTTTGAAGGGAGCTTTGCATTTGCACTCGTAAAAAGGAGCAGTGGTGGTGAGGACGCAGTCTCCTTGGCCGCAGTTCACATTCTTGCAAACATCTTTCACTTAAAAAAAAAAACAAAAAAAAAAAAAAAACCCACACACTTATGTAATTATTCTATAATGAAAACAAAAAACACGTTTTAATTAGAAAAAAAGGCCCCACCTGTGTGACACCTCTTTCCTGTATACGGCTCAGGGCAGTGACATACGAAGCCCCCGTCCACTGATGTGTCACAGCTACCGCCATTCAAACATGGGTTTGGGTCACACTCATCTACAGTAGGAGACAGAAACAAACAAAGTGACTGTTAGGTCAAAGGTCAACTTGCATCACTAATCGATTAGGAGCAGAGTTCAGCAGACTGTCATTTCAACCCGTTTTTATATATATATATATCCAATATTAACTTTTTGCCGATAGCTAATATGCTAATAAAACACTTAATTTCTGACTCCAATATCAACCAATACTGATATGGACCTGGTAATATCCATTTATTTATCTGTACAAACCACTGAATTAGTATGAGAATAATTTAATTAGCTGCAATGCTGCCATCTAGTGACTTTCACTTTAATATACAGCCATTTATCCCCAAAACTATTTTTAGAGCATATCATTTGGCAAAAACCCAGGCATTGCGTCCCAGGTATCGTGTTTTCATTATAGAGGAAAAACTGATAACGATTCTTACACATATTACATAATATGCTAATATATACAGAAATTGAAGAAAAGGTCGAGGAGAGGTTTGTCTTTTCTTTTACCTGTGAGGTCCATGAGCTCATACAGCCAGTCGTCCAGAGCTGAATTAGTGCCTTCTGCTGGGCTTTCAGTCCCATAGTCATAATAGTAGATGTAATCTGTGAGAGGAATATGAGCCTTTACATAATTTTTTACTTTTGCGCTCTATGTTGCAAGTCTAAAAATTCTGTGTTACCAGTGCCGTCTGTGTCGTAGATGACCTGTAATTAAATGAAGCCTTTATCACTTACTAGTCACATCACGTATGTATTGATACATTAGAATGCACTCATACTCACAAAAACATCCTGTCCCAAGGCAGTGAACGCACATAGTTGCACGAGTAACGATATAAAGCAGACCGTGTTAACGTGAGCTCCAGCCATGATGAGACCAGGTTGAGGCCAGACCAGAGACTATGGACTGTTTTTGCCGAGATAAAATGTCCCATCAGGTCCACTGTTGCTCTCCACCTACCTGTTAATCATTACACAGCTGCACTGATTTGGCAGAAGTCAAAAAATGTCATTCAATATTTTCCACATTTTTGGCCATTACCTCTAATTCTGAGTATGTAAACAGTACAACACCACCTGAAACAAAAATATTTTCTCTTTCTCCCTTTTTTCCAGGGGTTGCTACAGCAAATCATTGATTTCCATATTGCCCTGTTCTCTGCATCTTCAAGTAGCCACTCTGTAACCCTCTAGAAACAAATTGTATTAACAAAAACATAAGCTACATTTTGATTGGTTAACCAAAGTACTACTGCAGTTTTCCACATCCTGCTGCTGGGGATGGTGTGGATGGGTGTGCTTTACATCTACTGTACCTTGCATGCCAAATAAATGTTCCACCAACCATAAGTATGTGACTGGATGGTGCAGTAGGGGTGACGCAAGCAAGCAACCCCATGGCATGGGTCTGAATTCAGGCAAGTGGGCCCTAGCTATCCTTCTTTTACCAAACAAGGTTAGACTTGAGTGAAAAAAAAAAAAAAAAAAAATTCCCCAAAAAAAAAAAAAAAAAAAAAAAAAAAAAAAACCATGCAAGCCAGGCCTGGATTCAAACTCGCATTACTTGGACAAAGGTCAGAGGACTTATCCTCTGGTATAAGCTCACAACTCTAAATAAACTCTGACTGATGTGATGTCACAGCACACGACAATGTAGTGACACACCGAAACAAAGAAAATGACTGGGACACAAAAGAGGAACACCCAGTGTTGTCAAGTGTTGACTAGTTAGTGAAAAGAATATAATACAAACATTTCTGATCATTTATTTTATCAAAATGACTTACACTTTGTCAGTGCACAGAGAGGAGAAGTTCGGAGGGTGGGGGTGGGGGAATCGCACTCACAGTAAAACACTTTCGTACGACTCATCTCGTCGATACCATCTCCGACTGGGTCATTCACTGCGTAGTATTTTTTATAGTTTTCCAGCCCCGATGTCCTGTAAACATTGCACAACACTATAAACGCTGTCCAAAAATTCCATTTCCGCTGAATAAAACATGACATGTTTCTTTTACTTTGACGATGTCGTTCACTTAACACAAACCAGATGCTTCCGACTTCTTGGCGTCGTGGAGTCCACCGGCCCAGTTGATGGCGATGTGGGTCTGCCGCTACACCTGCAAATATATACTTCATCAATTTCGTACGTGAACGAGCGCACGCACACACTCAAATAATAAAAGAAGGTGCAAATTCGTACCTTCGATAATAATGTACCGTCTTCTTCATGGATGGCTCATCGTTACAATGACCTACAAAGTGCAAGTACCACTTTGAAGGAAACGTTCCCCCACACAAGCCGCTGCTTCACCAACACACGTGGCTAAAGTTGCAACACCCCAAATGTTTGGACCACTCAAACCAAAGGGTCATCATCGTGCACATACTTCGAGGCCAAATTACAAAACGCTACCTCATGCAATTGAATAACACGATGACTGAAGCGATACTGCAGTCAGAACTGGGTTGAATGTGCAAATCGTGCGGCTCAAACAAGCTACTGTTTAGCACGCTAACCGTTTACCCCACTCGGCGGTTCAGTAGCGTGTAGACGGTCTAAAACAAACCGTCTTCCACGGAATACTGGTCCTTGACATGACGCGTTAACCGCCAAAGTGAAGAGAACCAAAATGAAACTACGTACCGTGGTAACAATAGCAAACACAGCGCCATTTTGCAACCATCACACGAAAGGAAGTTGTACCACGTCCTTCCGCTTTTAAAGCGCACGGCTGCGCCTCGTTATCCAATCACAAGCGTCTTGCACGGCATCTACAATTTACCAGGTGACAGTGTGATATGAGGAGGGGCGCCTTTCCTGACGCAACCCTCACCATTTATCCGGGCTTAGGACCGGCAATATAGTATCACTATAGTAGCACTGGCTTGTGTACCTTAGTGTACCCTAGTGGCTGGTTTACACTGGTACTGAAAAAAATAAAACTGCGAGCCAGGCCTGGATTCAAACTCACATCGCCTGGACAAAGGTCAGAGGACTTATCATCTGGTACGAGCTCAAAATAATTCTAAATAAACTCTGACTGATGTGATGTCATAGCACGTGACAATGTATCGACACACTGAAACAAAACAAAAAAGACTGGGACGCAAAAGAGAAATACCCAGTGTTGTCTTGACTAGTTAGTGGAAATAATATAATAAAACATACAAATATTTCTGATCCTTTATTTTATCAAGATGACTTAGACTTAGACTTAGACTTTCTTTATTGTCAGTGCATAGAAAAAACGTCTGGAGTACAAAGTACAAAGTACACAGCTTGTAGGCCATGAGTAACTACTTGGGGTTTGGCTGTATATACAGTATATGTATATGTATATAATTAGTGCATGTTTGATTAACGATCTAAAATGTTAGAAGCTTATCATATGTTCTCTATTTATTTCTGTTTTTAATTTAATTTGTATTTATTTGTATTTATTTGGCGCTTTGGCCCAGAGGCAATGTCTCTGTCATTGGTGTGATACCCCAGGGTTCACCAGGGCAAGTTCGAATCCCGGTTAGGGCGGTTGGTACCTTCCAGTGGACTCACCACCTGCAGGAAGGTTCGTACGATGTATTGTGATGCAGTCGCCTCCGCGACCCGGTAACGGATAAGCGGATGAAGATGCATGTTACACACTTAAAATTATTTCACGTAGTAATTAAATGTACGTCATTTCCTCTCCCTGGTTTGCGCATGCGTAGTAAGAGGTTTTGAATTGTACCGGAAATGTGCGCTCTCGTTCTTTAAAGTGTGTGTGGATGCCACGAGGGTAAAGATAACTATTTACGTTTAAACTACATAATGAAGCATTTTTTGTGATGTTCAGCCATTTTATGGTTACCGGTGCATTCGTTTTTTTCTCGGTAAACTTTTTTTGGCAAATTAACCGGAAATATTGCTCTCGTTTATCAAACAGACATTTAGTCTCTTGAGTGTGTATGGAAGATAGAAAAGATAACCTGATCACAAACAGTTTTTTCTCGATTAAACTCAATAATTGATGCGTTTATGTGGTGTTTAGTCATTTTTTCGACACTAGTGCTTTAGGTAAAACGTGTAACCAACATTGGAATTAGTTGAAGTTGTTGTTTTAGCAGTTGTGGTACAGGTAGAGGAGCTTCAATTGATTTTGACTTTATTTAAAATATACTGTTAGGTCTTTATAAACAAATCAACGGTTAATTTACCTTTTATACAAAAAAATGGTGAACGTAAAAGTTGTAGTATACTCTCTGAGAGTTTGTAAGACTGGGTCTGACTGTATTGCTAAGGCTGAACTACAGCGTCTATTTACAGCAACAGTACGTCTTTAGCTTTCATTAAGGTTTTTTCCAATTACTTATCAGTCTCCTCTCTCGTCAACAGTATGTCATCAGTTAGCAAAATGGAGAAACGGCCACGGTTATGTTGGTGCAAAATTGTGCAGCACAAACACATAAATTAGTATTTTATTATTTTTGTAGTTTCCCTTTTTGACAACTATTTTGTAATACAGTAGAGCCATTAGAAGTGTGTATATATATATATATATATATATATATATATATATGCATGCCATAGAAGCATTTTTAATGAAGAGCAGATTGACTAGAGCAGATTAATTGTGGGTAATGGTATCAGAACCATGTGAATTAAATCAAATCAATTTAGGAAATTGGTCGCAATACCAGCCCTGAAGTGTCAGGAATTAAAAAAAAAACTTTTTCCATTTTTTTAAACTTTATTATTTTTTATTTATTATTAAAATAATACTGATTACTTACACGGTGCCAAATCTTAGAGGATACACATGTATTCTTGGATTACTTTGTGGTTTTTGCATTTTTCCAAGAAAGTCACATTATATATGTATACATATCATCATAAAATATAAAGTTTTTTAGTATGGCACAATGACGATGATTTGAGGCCCTTTCAGATCAAATAGTTTTGGCACATCTAAACCACACTACCTCACTCTAAGCAATAATGGCCTGTTTTATTGTATTATCTTATTTTGTTATAAACGCCATTGGCTTTTCATTTGTCTTTTTTTTATATTTTAATTAACTGTTTTTATTATTTTTTGCCTGCTTGCACCTTGGTTCTGAGAGAACTGTAATTTAATTTTATATATATGTATGGTATATTCCAATAAAGTTGATTTGCTTTCACATTTTAAGGTATAAACTTGTATTTTAAAATAGTTTTTTTCTTTACAAAATATTTTGTGTTGTTTTAATTTTTTTTGGATTTGTTTTGGGGGGCAGTTTTTTATTTTTTATTTTTCAATTTTACTGCTTTGCATGAGGTCATATTTCATGTTTTATTCATAAACAACATAGTATAACGTGTTTTTGCCCAATTTTTGAAAATTATGTGGTTAATTGGAAATTAAACATAAATGTCACTTTGATAATTTCTAACATTTTAACATTGAAAGAATGATTTATGAGAAAGTGGATTTTTTGTAATTTTTTATTTAGGTTTATCATTTATCATACAGTTACATGGATAAATAATAGCACCAAAGTGAAAGCAATAATACACAAACAGCCTTTAAACAGAGAAGAGTGTTAACTTTTCTATTTCTTGTATTTCATCTACCATTGTCAGCCACACTTTATAACTGCTTTAAAATTGAGCCAGTTCTTAGTAATGGCCTCTTTGGAAAATGCATTTTTTAAATTATTTAAATTTTGAAAACACATTTTAATACTGCACTCCTGTTACAGGGGAGCATCAGCCTCTATAAAAAAAACCTCTATAATAAAAAATATATATATATATATACGGTTTTTTTCTTTTATTTCAGGTGAACATATTTGCATTGACATAACCAGAGCAAACCAACGTTTCATGAGGGACTCTGTTCTAGTGTTCCGACAGTGGGTGAGCCAATCAACACTGAAGCATGGCAGTGGTACTACAGTGAGGTC